ATCATTTGTTTATGTAAACTGTAGATCAATTTGTAAACTACGATTTCGTAAGTACTGATTGCAAAGCTTTTATCAAAATATATAATTATAACAAATCAAGCAAATGTTTCGATAATGATAATGTCATATTGGGATAAGAAATAATAAAGAAATTTGAGTCATTCTTTTCGTTCTCGACTTAAACTCTATCTCACAGATCCGTACGTATTAATGCGTATACTTTAATCCTCGCAATGGATTTTTGAATCTGTAAAAGAGAAAAAAGTAGTTATTTTACAAAAATTATTGCGTTTAATCGATATAGACAACTTATAAAAAGAAATCCCTTTAAATAACATATATATTTTATATATTTTGAATGCATGGAATCTTTGATGCATATTCATTTATTTTTAAGTTAATGAAATATGAATAAGCACTTTGATTATCACGATCAATTTTTTCTACATATCACATTCACTTGCACGTGTTTTCAGGACGTAATGAACGATAAATTACACGAGTTCCTCGCAGATAAATTTGAACATGTCACAGTCGACGTTACAAACCATTACGGAATATTAGGATATTCCATTACTGTTTGCACTCAGGCACATAAATACAGAACCGAGTACGTTGATAAAATGATCGACGAATTTTTGAGATTTTTTAAAAATGATTTGGAAAAGCTCACAGAAGAAGAATTGGATGTTTACAAAGAAATATACCTAAAATCTAGATCACATGACAATGTCAATTTTGAAGACGAAGAAAATTGGTATCAGATCCTAGACCATACTTACATATTTGACTTTCATGAACAGGAAATACTTGCTCTAAAGGATATAAATGTTAAAAAGCTGAGCGAATGGCTTGCAGACCACACATCGAACGGAAGTAATTTCAGAAAATTGAGTTTGCATATTGTGGGAACTATTCCCAAAAAAGTGAAATACGTTAATTTAGAATATATAAACAACGATCATCAGCAGTACAAGCTAAATAAATATCATTATATTACTAATGTAGAAGATTATAAGAAAAAACTGTTCATATTTCCAACTGAGCGTTCCAACACATCCCTTCAGAGTACAGAATAAATGACACATTAATAATTTAATAATATAATGAAAATGATATTATATCTTTTATTATGTCTTTTATCTTTTATTATATCTTGTATTATGATAATGAGGTTTTTATTAATGGTTAAATGATTAAATTTAAACTTTTCATCTTCTCATAGCAACTACGCAATAAACCAATGAAAACATCTTTTGCATTTACGTTTATCATACTCCTGTTTTCTTTCTGATAAGTTATGAATAATAGCTGTTATTATAATAGCTATTATTGTACAGCTATAGAATTTTTGCATTTTGCTACAGAACTAGAATATTCGAAGTTAAAATAGAGCGAAATTTTCTCACATTAAAATCAAATTTGTTAGTTTTATATATTAATGATACTTTTCTTTAAGAAAATATATGTATATATAAACAGATACATAATGGAAACATATTATAAGTAACTAATCAAAAACATATACTGTGATAATTAAGGATATTTTGGATCCCTAATTATCAATTTAAAGTGAGAATTTTTTGCAATTACATTTATTATATTTCAATATTCTTTGCGATGAGCTGTTATGAATAATAACTTATTATAACAGCTATAAAATTTTGCATTTTGCTACGGAACTAGAATTTTGAAGTAATAGAATAAAATTTTTTCACCTTAAAATTCAATTTGTCAGTTTTATATATTCACAATACTTTTCTTTAATAAGAAAATATAAACAGATATATAATGAAACTATCATAAATAATTGTAATAATTAGACAAAAACGTATACTGTAATAATAAAGGAGGATGCTCCTCAGGATGTAAAGTACTTGCTCAAGTTGCAATTTTTCATATTTTTTATTTATATTCTAAACATGACAAAATGTTTTCAATAAAATGTGTCTCTCACTCTCTTTTTCTCTCTTCTTTCTCTTTCTTCTCCTGACTCATATCACAAATTTTCAAACTTAATTTAATTGATTTAAAATTCGTATTCTTTGACAAAGGCCGCATACTAGTTAAAGAAAAGACTTCCATAAACTGAACGGCAGATTCTACAAATATTTTATTTTTGTGTATACATACATATTGTGTAAGAATTGCATTTTAAATAAATTGAAGAAATATTTAATATTATACTTCCTAGAAAAAGAGGAAATTTTTTAATTAAACTGCTTTTTAACTGCTCAGCTTCCTATTCCTTCAGAAAAAAAATTTTGTTATTCGGCGATAATTGGCTAGTTTAAAAAAAAAGGCAGAGGATTTGCTTCTAAAAATCAGATATTGTGATCATTAATAAGTAATGAACAATATAAATAATTTGAATTAATGCAACATTTATTAAGGGTAGGTTTCGAGTTTTATACTTTAAATAAACATCATATATATTCTTTTTTTTCTATTTTTCTAATAATATTATATAGATTTGAAACTCTTATACATTTTCAAACATTTATTATTTATAATTACAATATGAATAGTTAGACAAAAATATTCGTTATTATCTCTGAGTATTTCAGAATTCTTCGATAATTAAAAATTTGTTTAAAGTTGACAATCTCTAATAGTTATTCCATTTTTTTCAGTTGAACTCCATGCACATAGATTATCTATTTCTTCTTAAGAACAGAAGGAAAAAGCGATATAAGAAGTGTAACTCAATTTATCAACGATTCTCATTCAATATAGCATTACAGTTTAAAAAAAAAAAGAAATTAGACGTGATTCTTTAAAAGTTTGTTCTTATGGGGGCATATACATCTAGAGATGGTGAAAAAAAATGGATTATTTTAAATAATGTGTGAAGTCTAATGTCCTAAAAACATTTTTGTAGATTTATTTGGCGAAAAATTGAGAAGTTACACGAAATTATAGACGAGTAGGTTCGAGTGGATTGAAAACGACAGGTACGCGTGCCAGCGACAGTGCAATTCACGCAGATGAAAAAAACATTCTTCTTTTATTCATTGTGTTTCTCAATAGCATTTCTCAGAGCTGCATTTAAAAATACGAATGGTTGATGGTATAACAACTTTGTCTGAAAAAGCAATTGAAAAGATTGAAACGTTAGCAACGAAAAGTATGATCCGCATATAAAACTTTAAATGCGTTTCTCTCAAAATGTGTTTCAATTTGCGTGATCACTTGAGGATGGTGCGACCGATCGACTTGCAATTTTACACTTTTTCTACACATTCAAAACTAATTCCTAAGATAGTAGGATTGAAAACTAGTTCCTAGGACGTAAGATTTTTTTCCTACAATGTTTAGTTTTTTTTCCACAGCCAAAAACGAGTAAAATTAAAAAAAAATTGTTATGTTAACTTTGACCAGCTGCCATTTAATTTAAATATAATATTTTAAAAAACGGCTATATCAAGATCTGTGTTTCAATTTTATAAAACTTGTGCCATTTTGCTTTCACACGAGTCTAATGCGAGCAGCAACGGTCACCCGTTTTATAAAGCATGATGTACGAAAATTTGAATAGCTACTTCATTTCAGATTGTTTTTAAATGAAATTTTAATGATATAAATAGAGAAAAGTATCATCTTTACAATGGAACCGACTTCTTTTCTTTATTCGTTTTTCCACAAAAGTTCACAAAATTATGCCTCCTTTTCGTCAGACTAAGTATATATGCCCCTTAAACATCATTATACTTAAACATACTATGCTCTCTGTTTCGTTCAATTGATCATTATCAGACATGTGTGGTTAGATTTCAGGTAGCTTAAACCGGAGTACGCTTTTTTACTTCGATGTGCAGTTAGGTCAAATTAAATTCAAATATCAATCGCTTGTGGCTTGTGAAATCTCTTTCAAGCGTGTACCTATAATAATAAAAATAATTACTTAAACAATGAATAAGCAGGCAATTATAGTTGGATCTTATTTAAAGTAAATTATTCGTTTTACATAATACGTTAAGACGTTAATAC